AAGAAAAAAGTCACGTAAAAATATCAGTATCCAATGAACGAAGCCGTGGCATTGAGTTTTTAGTAAAAAAATTTAATTTTCAATCGAATGCTCCTCCAAACGCATCAATCTCGTAGAAGTATTCGATCGAACCCTCATTCACAGATCCTCCATAAGCCATCCTCTCTTTTTTTTTTTTTTTTAGTATCTTTCAAACAGAATTTAATCCAGGTCGAAGTTCCTTAGTACTTCCGGTATATAGCCATAGTGGCATCCTCCCTTTTTTTTCTAAATACGGAGTAGCCAGTAGCTTTTACCACGGCAAACCTTCATTTCCTCCCTTCTCTCAAGAGCGGATAAACCCGATCGACATTCGGCCGGAGTACAGGGGCATCTTATACGAATCGGTATCCCTACCACGTAGAGAGGACTTGGCTACGTGGTTGGGCGTAGTCCTAGAGGCCGTCTAAAATCGCGAAAAAAACGTCGCCCCGTCGAAGACCTGCCGACGGGAAAGGCCACTCGTGGAAATGGGGGCTCTAAAGTCGTTTGTCGGTAAAAATGGATCCGGAGTGCGCGGCTGTGCCTATACTATAGCTATACTACGTAGCTACGCATCTATACGCTGCTAGTCCCTTATATATATATATTCCACGCATTCACGCACCCAACTGCGTACCTACGTATCGTAGTTGAATATAGCTTTGTGGATGGGTCGATAACGCGCAACTCTCTCGCTCATCGCAGTCGGCAATGCCACGCTGTGGCCCCCCTAAGCTCAGCTTTCCTCTCATTCCGCCATAAACTCGCACTCCGGCACATCCACCAGCCACCTGCATCGGCCAAACAACCGAACAACCGAACAACCGAACAACCGAACAACCGAACAACCGAACAACCGAACAACCAAGCACTACCAGTAGTGTTGCCAGCGGCATTGGTAGTACAAGTCTCCATAGTATACCTCGAACAACACCATCAGCAGTAACAAGAAAAACAAGAAACAAGATTTAGTCTGGTCGCTAAACAAAACAGGAACAACAATAACACGGTGTATTACCAAGAGAGGATTATCACAGAAAATTGGTTAAATAAATTTGCGAGAAGGATTCGTGATAGCAATTTGAATCAGGTGGAAAATCATACAGCTGGTTGTTCCCGTCGCGTTAGAAACGGTCGTCGTTGCCGCCACTGTCGCTTCTACTCTGAACGGCGTCGTCGTCGTCGACGTTGGCGTCGTCGTCGCGCCCGAGTCCTGGAGTCGAGCGTGATTCGTCGAGGCTGGAGGGTCGTTCGCGATGTAGCTCCACGCTACTGCCGTCCAGTGTAACGAGGGAAATGACGACGTGATACGAGCTTCTGCATACTCTGGTGCTCCCTGGCTATACTATTTACGCTCTCGTGATAGAGAATAGACATAGATACGTGATTAACAGGTTGTTGTTGTTGTTGTTGTTGTTCTACTTCTTCTTCTCGTCTCAGTGGCTCGATTGGAATTCGGTGCACGACTGACGCTGGATAATCCCGGTCTTATTTATTTTATTTGTGCAACGATCTGGTGCTTAGTCTAGTGTGGAACGTTGCTGGAGTATTAATCGACATTAACCATACGTGTTGTTTTCTTTATCGATAGAACAAGAAATAAGGACACAAAATTGTCAGTTATTCGAACTTTATGTAACGTGGGTGTTGGTGTATGTACTGAGTGCTCAAGGATGATACGAGAACGGAATGGCAGCCTAGCCAAGTTTACCGTGCGATTTTACTCAAGGAATTTCGTCGAGGAATTTCGTTATTGAAATTCGTCGATCTTTTACTGGGATTTCTGGACTGCTTGAGATTAGACACTGTTTTCTTTTTCCGCATTCATTACCCTGACTCAGCCAAGGTGATCTTGAACGATCGGAAGATCGAGGAACGGTCAACAAACCCCCTCTACGTGTCGTGGATTATTATTCTCAACCTTGGCGATCCTTTTCGCTAGGGTAGTCGTGCTTCCAAGAGGATGCCGAAGATTCGCCATCCTGAGGGACGCTCTTGTGAGCGTAAAGGACGACACGTCGAGTGTCAATGGAATTTGCGATCGTCGACTGGTCGGTTTTCCTACCGCATCAAATCGACGAGTAAGACGCCGAGCGACGTAGTGGAGAAGAAATACGCAAATAGCGCAGTGGGAAAGCAGATTCGATTGTCCGAACACTCAAGACCGATCAATTGATCGTTCGAGAATAATCACGTCCTCCTGGAATACGCGAGTGTCCTTGAAATGCGATCCTGTTCGTTAACGGATACGCAGTTGAAAAAATTAGCTGAAGTGAATTCGAAAAAAATTTGCATTTCGCGTAAATAAACTCGCGTTACTCCTACCGATAACGTAACACGCAAAATAACCCATAATCAGCTTTATGCTCGTGATTATAATAATCGCAGGCGACGACCCAACGTCTATCGATTCTTCGTGCTTCGTTTTTTTTCTATTTTCGCGAAAGACGAGACGCAAAGCCCTCGTGGCCGTCCGACGATAACGACGAGTATGTGCGATGGTGTTTTACGCGCGTGTTATTATCACTTATCGCTTATCCGTATGTGTAAACGATTAATCCCTTAAGTCATTGGTGTTATATCGTAGGTGTATTTCGCGCGTGCTTCGTGCAGCAAGAGACACATGTATATCTGTATATGCATATATGGTGAATGGTTGCTCGATTATCATGCCGATTATGGGTTTCCTTGAGGTCGCACGAATCCCTCGTGTCAGGAAACGCGTGATTGCTTATCTAATATCGTGAGATGTCAGAGACTGTATCGAGTATCAGGCACGCGAATAAAGTAAGGTTTAAACGAACGTTAAGAGATCGGCGAACTGACGAAACGATATGACGCGTATCGATTTGAAATCGAATGTTATCAGATCGCGTAGAGAATTTAATCTCGAGATTAATTACCGCCAAATTCGCGTTGTTCAATTACTTATGACATAAACGGTGTAAATTATCGCGTGTGAGTCGACATATCAGATCTGACGATAGCAGCGTGGAGTAAAATGGTATTTTTACTATAGGCTAATTCGTGGATCCAGTGTCGCCGAGTCTGATCATCGCTGTCGAGTTGCGCAGTGACGTGTCGTGAGAGAAACTTGGAAACATTAGTGAGACACGGGAAAATGAAGAATTTCTCCTGCTTCTTCATCTTAAGGTACGGAAGATTCTTTAATAATGTTCTATCAAGTTCCGTACGTTTTTTGTCTATGGTACTTCATATACAGTACCAGGTACCGGAGTTACGTTAGTTTTTATTTTGACGGGCTGCAGTGGGACTTTGTTGTCGTAAGGTTTCGCATGTTGGACAAAAATTACCATCGTTTCAGAGAAACGCCATGAAAATTTTTCTATAATTGCGTCTTTGCAAACGGAAAAGATATATGTACGAACTCGTGCGGTAGTCTGGAGATACAATTTTATATATATATATATTTCACTCGCTTTTCGTCGACAACGATCAGTAACTCATAAGATGATACGGACTAGAATACATATAAAAGGAACACGCGTATTCAAGTCCCAGGAGAAATTATTTCCAATCGTATTGGCTATAATGCGTCTGCTATTTACTGGAAAATAAATGAACCTAATGTATTGTGCGATAGCTGTTACACAAAACGGCCTAAGATTTTGTCGTCGATATTGAAACGTTCAAAAGAAATATACTTGAAGGTAGAGATTATCTTGATATAATTTCGATCATAGCGAAACGACTGATAAATTCTACGTAGAAGCAACAATCGGTAATACGATAAATAATCTTCTCTATGGTTCGCTACAAAAAGTGTGAATTCAAAAGATATGAGAATAAAGTTATAAAAACCCACCACTGGACAAAAAAGAATCAATAAGGTCCAATAATTTTTTCATTCGCTTTACTTTCTCTTCAGATAAAATCCCACCATTACTTTAACGAATGCATGGAAACCCCATTTTCAAATTGTGGGAAAGTCCCCCAATTGTCGTTCGACCAGCGGATGGCAAAGTCGATACTACGATAGGTGCGCTGTACGTATTTTTAGTGCAGTATTCGTAAGCGCCTATGTATATATATTTTCGTGGTACTTATCACTAATAGGCTATAGGCTCGCAATCAGTACCTGATGTTTTTCTTGGTATGAATCACGTGGCTAAATTGCCTTGACAGACGAGGCGGTATATTATTTCAATTAAAATCAAAGGTTTGAAGTGTCAGTAACGTGAGAACTCGGTAAGCTATACAGTGATTGACGTACGAACCGTTGTGACTTTGATATTCAAAACCTTGAAAATTCGCGGGCTGTAACGCGATAGCTGGATACGTACGCCCAGACGTGGAGCCGTACCCCGTTCGCTGATTCAAAGTAGGAACAGGGTATGTAGAGAGGATCTGGATCAGAAGTAGGAGAAGAGGCTGAAACAGCAACTTCACTCTCTTAATCGATAGCGTGTCTACCCTCTATTGGGGCTTCTGTTAAAATCCGGATTCCCTTTGATTCCCTTCGGGCCGCGACACCCGTCAACCCGATTTTACGCTCACGCGAAGTGAACAATTGGAAATATTTAATATCGGCTGTCTGCGCACTAGGATTTAACGTTCGAGCTTCGTGATTCTGGTAATAATGTCACGTACGGCTTTCACGCTCGATGGATCAAAAGCTATGAGGCTTTGCTCTCTCTCTCTCTCTCTCTCTTTCCCGCTCCCTCCCTATCTCTCCCTCTCTATCTTTGTCTCACTTTTATTTTATCGCTGCTTGACATTCTGCGCCCTCGGTTACTTTTCACCTTTTCTTATCTTAAAAAATGTTTCTTTGCCACTGAAATTCTTTTCAATTATTACGTCACGGTAGTTCGATAAAATAATATAAAAATTATATAGTTATGGATAAACGATATTTTTATTTCAATCTGCGCAACGCTTATTAAGAATAACCATGGGTGAGAAGTTGAGATCAATTAGTGTACTAAGATCGTAAAGAAACATTTAAAGAGTATCGAGTTAACAGACAAATAGATAACGTTGAACATGATAAATTCCTTTTTTTCGTATTAGGAAGAGTTCCTAATGTATTTTATCGTACCGTACAGAGTCGTTATACTGTCCTATACAGTAGCAGCGGACTGCGAAGGCTGAAGCAGCGAAGCTTGGAAATAATTCAATGATACGATCTCGTAACGTGAGACGATATTCATGCAGAGGATCCCAAATCGATTATCATCAACGAATTTTTGGCGAGGAAAGATCGTACTCAGTCTCGGCAACAATATTGCACACCTGGACCTTTATCGTAGCTTGGAGATGCTGCGGGAAGCTTGCCACGGTCAGGGCCATACTCTCGAAGAAGGCGCGAGTTGGATCATCTGGATTCGGTGAGTTTCTCCTCCTATTCTTGGCGGCTGGTGTCATCGTAAGGCGTCGCGACGCCGTGTTCGTCGCCTTCTGGAGCGCCTCCTTCGACGCCAGACGGGATGGCTCAGACATTCTCGGACGTAGCACTCTACTGGTTGCCGATGGCATTGCGTGATACCTGTTATCGCATCAGGCGCCATTCGGTTATCCACTAAAGATCACGGGTCACGCGAGGTACACCTACCTGTCGCTTGCTTCTGAACCTGTTTGACCTGAATTATTCTGAACTGGGTTTTCCGTAAGGATTGGGTTATCCTCAACTGGATCTTCATTCCCTGCTGGTATGTTACTCGGGGATGAGATTGTCTCTTTCTTGGACCCACTTGAGACATGAGATCCGGACCGGAGGAAACGTTTCTCTTTTTTCGGAGAATTGCACTCACTGCTCGCACAACTGTTCTCTCGTGAATTTTCCATGCTGAAAATATGGATACTCTCGGATTTTGTAATACTACATTTTTTTATTGAAAAAAAATAATTTTTTTTCCTCTTACATAAATTTCTTCATAAACGACAGGGCATTGTCGTAAGGTAGAGATTCTCTTGATCCAGACTTTTTTCCTTCGGGATATCGTAGGCCTCTCGCATACGCGTAACGCAGCCTCTTCCATACATTTTTCGGTGCCTCCACTAAAAGCAGAATGCTGGGTAATTCGCATCGCGGAATAGATCTCTACTAGATGCAGAATGGATGATAGGGCCAGGGCTTAGTCAGGATGGTTGTAAAAGCGAAGCGCACGAGTCTCGCGGGCGTCCGCGTTCTCTTCCGGTAAGAGGAAATGAAATGACGAACGATATGGAATAGTTACAGCATGTACTGTCTATAGGTATGCAATGTATGCGCGTGATGAATACGACACGAAAGAATTTGTATGTTTCTGCACGACATCCTGGAGAAGAGTTTCCGACTGGTACACTAGTACAGACAGTATATCGAAGAACATTCAACTGTTTCTTTAACACGAAAATCGAAAAACCATCAAAAATTCGATCCATTAATTTTTTCGAAACCTGGATATCTCTTTTCCTCTTATTTTTACTCTACGTTCTCGCTTTCTCCAGGTAGGGACGCGGCTGGACCATCCGGTCGATTTTGTCTGGCTTACAATAGCCCGATGAATTAGAGCGAACTAATGTCCACAGACGAGAGAGACAGAATGCATGGAATAAAGTAGGATGAAAGAGAGAGAGAGAGAGAGACAGAGATACCGCTTTGAAACAAATTCTACCGAGGATTTCAATGTCTTCGGATTTGGTCCGTTCAGCTTCCTCGGGCACCGCTCCCACCTTTCTCGAATCCGCCCTAAGAACTCCCATGAGAAATATATTTCCGCCCGAGCTCTCTGTTCTCGCACGAGATTTCCTCGCGCATTTTCCGCAAAACCGAAAGAGGCGTACCGTTGCATTTCTTATGAGTCACGCACCGTTCTCCTTCTTTTCATCAAACTTCTTTCCAACTCCCATACGTTCCCCGCCTTATTCATTCTCCATGAATATACGAATCGATATTCCCCGTAATGGACCCTTTAGCTATCCCGGTGTTTGTCTAGTTCGCAAAAAGGTAAAACTAAAGATACCCTTCGAAGAAGCTCACCCGGTACATTTAATTCCCCAGCTATCTTCTTCCAGATGTTATTTTTATGTACGATATCCTTGGCGAATTCGTGACTCGGATCATACAATTCAGGGTTGCTCTTCACCAGATCGATCATACGAAATTCATCGAACGTCGCGTTTTTACCTATCAGTTTAGGCATGACTGCTCGCCCAGGGAAATCAAGGTAGCCTTTTTTCTCGTTTTTTTGTCCTCCCTTAAATTCTTCACGAAAAAAGGACTTTAGATTATTTTCTGTATTTGAATATTCTCGTAACGATGACAGTTGGACAGCTGAGCGAAGAAACAACGGTTGATAACAATGACGTGCTTCGAGTATTACTTTTTTATTTCTATTCAGAGTGAGCTCTTGAGACGAGGAAGCCTTGAAAGTCCGTACATGTATCGTGATGTAATATGTAGGTACTTCAATGTAATATATAGGTATCAATCAGCGTATGTAGCTACATGCGTATATATATATATATATATATATATATAGTATACACTGTATGCACGCACTCGAAACAAGTGGACGTTATTTTGTAGGCAGCCTCATTGGTTTTTTATGCCTGGCATGAGATTACCCATTGGAAAAGGATTTGCCGTTCGCTTATAACAAATTACCTAATGATGGTCGCTTCGCTAATTGACAGTAAAGTGGGTATAGGGGTTGGACGCGTGCACGCGCGGGAGGCACGGCGAAGGTAAATTCTCTGTTTGGATGGAGCTGAGAAAAATGACTTAATCCTCCTGAAATGGCTCCATCGGTATAAAGGCAATGGCGCGAGTGCCGTCATTAGTTGGAATGGACGGGCATCGTTTTACAGTAATGCCACCACCGCCGCCACCCTTCGAGCGAAACCTTTCCCGTCTGCACCCTTTGACCAATTATATCCTGGTTTTCATTATTAAAAAGTAAAAAAAAAAAGGGGGTAACGGCGCGTCGGTACGTTCAACCCCTTTTGCGATGATTTTTTCTCGGTACGTTTCTCGTGGGTTACCTTGTTCAATGCATTCACCATCCACTGATGCCTGAGGATATTAAAGAGGGGGCTGCTGCTTTCTCTTGGATACAAACCCGCCCCTAAAATTCTTTTTAGAAGGTTTTATACACTGGCCAAATAGGGTGCGATCAATTCTTTAAACCACGAGTGGTGGTGCCCTTTGGGGAAGTCTCGATGATAAGGGTAGGAATATTACTGACTGTGATCGTTGCGTACTCCTTTGAAGCTCTCTGCTTTTGGAAAGACCCGTAGGTCGATGTAAATTTTTTAAATTCCAAGGTCTTTTGTTAAAACAATTTTCTTTTGTCTTTAGATAATTCTCAAAATCGAATCGCCAAAGCGATTACGCGCATCCCTTAGGGTTCAGAATCTATTTATGTAGACTAATCTGAAGAATTCTCAGGTTCTGTCTCGCGAGACCGTACTTAGGTTGGTATACTTCTTGCTGAAGGTGCATCAAGCTCGGCTCTACGTAATGTAGCAAAGTAGGGTGCAATGTAGAATAGGGTGAGAATGGGGATGAGGACAGAGGGGTTTGGGTAACGGCGTAACTCGTTGACGAGATTATAATCAAGCAAGGATTAAAGCTGGAGTAGAGACGCGAGCCGCAACCTACCGAACTGCAAGCACTAACATATATATTGTATATACCTACAGCAGAGGGGTGGTTGGTTGCACCTCGGAGGCCGGGCTGAGTTTTCGTTAATAGCGTCAACCCATCAGCCTTTGAGCCGAAGCCACCCCCTTAAACGTCCTCTTATTTAGCTTTCGTTAAGGGGCACGGGTTAGACCAGTGTTACGTCGAGAGGGATCCGCTGTATATACAGCCCCTGACGCTGAAAGTGAAAACTCTAATACGTAACCAAGCTGCATAGGAGACTGCATTATTTTCCGACAGGACCAGACACCCTGTATGATTAGACTCGACGTAGAGCCCTGCACGACAGCAGAGTACCCGTAAGGAATTCAAGGGAATAAATACGAGGGTAAACACCCGGGGGAATGGTGCGAGTTCTACGTAGTAACTTCCGTATCACCGGTAGAGCAACACGTGCATCGTGTACGTATTGCACAGTTGACTCTGTTATATTGAACTTTCGGTTTTGCACGCGCACGTGTAGTCAGGATCAGGATCGAGTCAACGGGGCTCGTAGGGAGAGGCGATGGATTGGGGGAAGATTTTTGGAGCAAATACGTAAGAGAAATATGTATAGAAAGGATAGGGGTGGTTGAGGGTGATTTTGAGTGGAAGACCTCTGTGGCAAGACGTATAGCGTACGGTGGTGGCTGAAGTGGAGGTCGGAGGCTGTCGAGCAACCCTGTGGAGCTGAAGCAAGGTGAGAAAAAACGGAGGGAGTTCAAGCTGAGCGAACAGGGTGGTAAGCAAGTTCAGTGGGGGGGTTCGGGCACTCTGTATGGGAAAGGGGATGGAGAATCCATGGGATAAGAAATGTGACAGTGGGAGAATTGGAAATCGAAGGTGGATCATTCGCTCGCAGCCGGTGCCAACGTTTTGAGAAATCGCCTTGAGAGAGAAGCACGAAGGAAACGACCCTGGACTTGCTGCTGTAAAATGTATAGATCTAGCCTGGTTCAACTCCAGGTTTCTACTTACCAAACTTTATCCCGTTTCGCGCTGGTGATTTATGCGTTACCCGTTATCATTATTTTTTTTTGTTTCTTTATACTTTTTTAGAACGTGACCCTGGGCACGAGATCGGAGAGAGGGTGGAATTAATATGGAAAATAAAATTTATTTAAGTTAGGTCAGGTCGCTACGTTTAGCCACTTGCTGTAATCGTTAATACCAATAACTTCTTTTCGCGCCTGTGGTGTATACCTATTAATATTAACGCTAATTAATCCACGTTGTTAATTGCCTGTCGCGTGTGCCTACCTGCACGCCCATTCGACCGTTTAATCCGAGCAACGTTGTGACGTCGACCTGAGAGTCAACGGCGCGGGAAGATACGAACGGAAAATGAATTTACACGTCCAATTAGGCGCGCAACGACACTGCCACGACCTCATTCTTGCGGTGGCAGTTACGCGAAGCTTTTCAATTTATTTTTGATTTCATTTATTCCCCAAGATTCCCTTGTTACGTTACCAGGAGTACTAATGACTTGCTAATTGCTCATGGACTCATGAGATATTCACCCTAGAGTCGACGTCGCGTACACGACGTTGGAAAGTCGACGTTATTCTTTTTTCTATCTTTTTTTTTTCTCCTTCATTCTTTCACTCTCCCGCACCTCCCTACCCTGAATCCTTTCTCTGTGTTTTCTTCCCAGTCGCGAAAGAGTCTTTTTGTACCAAACTCATTAAACCGAAGTATAACAAGAGCATAGGGAATATTACTGAATACGTATATACGTTTACTAGCTACCCATATTTATAACGTCCGGAGAAATGAGAGAGAAATAGGTGATTATCGTTATTAGAAATAGAGAAATGGGAATACGAAAAGCCACAGAAACGACTTTTCGTTTTCTTACAATATTTGCCAGTCAATCGTCCTGTCGCAGGAAATTACGTTAATTGGATCTTGCCGAGACTTATACGAGGCTGCTTTCTATATTCTATGCCAGTATTGTATGTTTGTCAAGTACGCGTTTTCATTGGCATACACTGGGTTGCCTATACTCTATCGGCCAAGTTCGATATATTGATCCGTTCGACAAACTTCAAACAAATTGCAGATAGTATTATATTCTTCGAACCTACTCATGGCTTAGTACTTTATGACGAATAGCTATACATATAATCGGTATATAGAGTGTCGGATGCATAAATGATTATTAGCCTGACGGTATTCATAATTTCAGGAAGTTTACTCAACGCATAATGCTTAGTTCAATATGATGCCATTCTTCGTTATTGACGCTGCTTGTCGACGTAATTGAAAAACCTGCGGCTTTTACGTTTTGATTGATGATCGCGCAGCTTATGTTTCTGATGATTGAATTATGAGTAATAATCATTTTATTTTTTTTTCTCTTGGTTGGATAATTCTGTTTTATTCAATTTTTTTCACACTCGTCCTACGGTTACTATTGTGGTTGATGGTTATAATACTACTCGCGCGAACGGACGCAATCGATGAGAGATAATTAGACGTGTTGTTAATTGAGAATAAAAGGCTTTTGACATTACTGCGATTGATGCATAATGAAAATATCGTATTGTTCATTATTCGTTATTTATTCTTCCTCTACTCTGTAAGTTTTCGTTATTTCGCCGAATCTCATCGAATTATACTACCGATTATTGGTAATGTATAGTAATATATGCTATATGCATTTTTCATTGAAAAAATTCGAATTTTACAAAAACAAAAAATCAAGCAATTTTTCGAAGAACGTTTAAAAAAATTGTATAACTCCTTGGTGTTGTTCGATAACGTGTCTATTGATATTCCTATATGGAATACAATGCGCTGATAACAAACTCGTCTCTAGATACAAATATAATGATGGTATATCTATCTTATTGCCGATAGATCTTAATTCCCGATCTTATTTCGTGAATCAACAATCTGTTTAAATTTTCCCGTCAGACAAATATCGCAAAACTTCGTTTCTGATCAACGGTTTATGCAGTTGCTCGAGTGCAAGCTCGCGAGGATGCACATGCGTTAGCTGCAGGTTTGTCGGGGTGCGACTATTGTATTGACCTTTCCTAGGCAAACATTTCATGCAGGAGCAGTTTCGTGGACATTCGCTGGACAAACAAGCGACACAGTGTTCGTACGAAGTTACTCAATATGCTTTAAATTGCTTCCCTATGCCTGGTCATTGTTGAATGGATATATAGGATGGCTGATGGGGCGGAGCCAGTCGGACGAACAAAGGGATGCCCGTTAGAGAATGCGAATCCGCTACGAATTGAAAGGCGTACGATAGACCTATGGCAGATTGGATGCGAATGGGACACCCTGTATATGGGAAAGGAACAACTGCCTGGCTAGACGGTTAGGCGAGTAAGTGGAATTGAAAGCAGCCTGAACTCCTCGAATAAATTAATCGACCGATAATAAGTTGGAAAGCGGTATAAAATCAAAAAGTGGTATAGCAATTTTAGCGCAGGGGTACAAAAAGATTACGTCACAGGAGATGGATGTCCGTGCTAGAGCTCTTTCACCCTTTTACCTCTTCCTCATCTTTCTGATTCTTTTTCTTATATCTGGCACGGCCTGGGACTTTGACTGGATGATACACGTAGGATAGATTATATAATGTATATGCATACAGGAAAATGTTTAGATACGCGC